GTCTTCTTGGTCAGGGATCGGTACAGGTCCGTGTCCCTTGCCAAGCCGAGCCAGAAAGATGCTGCTGCCATGACCTCCGAGCAGCCTTCTACCTCATTAACCTCTTCCCAGTATCGGATGGCGTACTGGCGAAGAGTCTCGGATTCCCTCCGTCTGAGGGTCAGCAATGATCCAATGTCCTTGGGGCGCCTACTCCCCGTGATGAATCGAGCCATGAACTGCTTAGTCAACTCCTTCCAGGACCCAATACTATTGGGGGGNTGATTGCTGTCAGTGTAGTCAGTAGGTGATCATTAGGTACAGGCAGTGTGCGCACTGATTCTGATGAGGAATGTCTTCTCTTCTTAACTGCTCGGGGTTCCGAGCAATCAATGCTGGGTCATCGGGATGCCGACGGTATAATGTACTCCTCTCAGGGAGGATCTAATAAATGCTTTNAACACTCGGCAGAGAAACCGTTGGTCCGAATGATAGAGGGACATCATATGCTTGTATTGCCTGACATGGGCTTCGGGATCGGACCGCCCGTCATAAGTTTTGAACCGCGGCACGACAAACTTTCTTGAAACCTCCATCTCACCGATCTCCCACGTAAAGGGTGTTTGTATGACTTCGTCGTCGGCCTCATCCTGGACAGCCTTACCCTTTCTCCTGGAGTCTAACCGGGCTCTGAGATCAATTTCTTCCCTGACGGGATGCCTTCTGAAGTCCTTGAGTTCATCGGATTGGGTTAAGTCCTCCTCGGATTCATCTCCCTTCCTCCGTCTAGACAAACCTCGTCGGAGGTCGTCCAGGGCCAATGGCCTTGCTTTCCTTGAATGGTTGTCATGGTGATGCTCATCGGCTCTGGGTCGCTTTGGGGCCCTGGAGCTTTCTGCTTTGTTGTTTAGGTGGTTTCTTAGATCTTTCGTTTCCGCCTCCCGGGCGGGAAACCCACGAGAAAGGAATGAATCCCTCGATAATTCGCCAGAGGCGGCAAACTCGTTGAGCCGGCTTAGGACGTTTACATTGTCCTTTTCTAGCTGTCGTAATCTATCGCCAAATTTTTCTTCAATCACCTCCGCCAGCTGACGAGCCAAGGGGGCTGATCCCCCTGACCTGATTCCCATACTGGTTTGAGGGGTAACCCCTCTTGACCGAGTAGAGGCACTTTTATTCATATTGGTGTGATCCCTCCCTCCGTGATGACAGGGAGCTTGTAACTCGAGACTCCTTTGGTGGGGTCCTTTCCCTTTCTGTCGAGTGTTCACCATGGTCACTGTTCTTTATAGAGAAAAAACTAGGAAAACTAGTCGTTTCCCACAGACGGCGCCAGATTGTGCGTGCAAGATCCTGCACAATATAAAAAACGAGAACAGATCTCTCCCTTGGTAAACTCGAGTGAGCCGGTTGAGTGACCAAACACGCTGTTTAGAACAGCCTGCGAGGTCCGGTGGTAACCTGGAACGGCAACAGAAGACCCTGGGGGAACGGAAGAACGATCCAGTAAGGCTGAAAGAGGTTCCTGGAACAAAGAAGAACAAGTTAGAAGGGCGCCGGAGTGTTTTCCGGCGTATCCCCTCCGACGATCTAGTCAGTCTTGTAGAAAGAGAGAGGAAGGAGAAAACACTGAGTGAGTATTGTAGTAAAGAGTTTTTTGTTGCATACCCGTCTTGCCTTTTGCAAGGAGTATTTATACCTCAAAAGCTCATGATTGCTGTCAGTGTAGTCAGTAGGTGATCATTAGGTACAGGCAGTGTGCGCACTGATTCTGATGAGGAATGTCTTCTCTTCTTAACTGCTCGGGGTCCCGAGCAATCAATGCTGGGTCATCGGGATGCCGACGGTACAATGTACTCCTCTCGGGGAGGATGCAATAAATGCTCTGTATTAGGAGCATTTATTGTCTTTCATTTCCGAGCCTTACCGCATTGAATGCGGTCTCATCAAGGGAATGGTGTAATTAATAGTTTGCTTTCCCAAGTCGCGTGTCAGCAACGGCATGCGGTTTCTCTGTCTTCGATGTGATATCATATGCCACGCGTCCATCCCCCATTGGCTGTGGCCCCTGCATTCCAGTACGTTCTGACACTAATGGTGTAAGACGAGGTCATGATGAATAGCCTAGACTAGCCTAGGCTAATGACCTGTACGTCAATAGCTTATCCTGGAGTAGAGGAGGCGTCCAGGACGGGTACACCTCGGCACCGAGGAAAGGCTCATCTCGGAACCGAGGGAGGGATACCGACCGAGGTACTATATCAGACCGAGGCTACGTGTTGGTTGTAAAACGTACTGAATACCATGATCCTATATGATGAGTACCTCGGGGGCGAGGACCTTGTGCGCCGATGGTGCTTGATCTTAGCAACAGTGTTTTGGTAATACCGAGGACACGTGTCTTCATCATGGAATATTTCAGAAAAGTCCCATCAGTTCTCTCTCTCTCTCTGTTTGTGCATATTTTCATATGTATATGTATGTGCATTTGTGTACATGACTTGTAGGTGTTTGTTTGTTCGTCTAAGTGAAATTATAAATTTTGTTAGTTTGATATACAATGGCGATGTATTATTGATAGGGGTTAGTAAATGAGGCTGATGTGGTGCACCATTAGCGATATATGCATAAAAAGGATTGCATAATTTCTGAATCAATGTTAGAGACGATGATACATCCACTTTAACACTAAATGGAAGTTCGTTTTCTTACAACTTTTGTCAGTAGGATTTGGAGACGCGTTTTCTTTGTTATGTATATCAGATTCACTGCCAGAGGCACCATATTAGTATAATTGAATTTATTAATTTTTTTTATGTTAGTTTTTTGAACTTGTTGACCACTTAATTGAGGTAAGGAAGACAATTAGATTCACTTTAAGAAAAAAAGAAAAAATTTGGGTGTTTTTTCATATGATTTTTACAATTGGGATACCTATATATAACTATTAATTGTTATGGAGATTGAATGGTTTAGTCTTATATTACACTTCATGAGAATAATTTGGAGAACCGTTGGGACATACCTAGGAGGACCTAAGCATGAAGACTTGTTTCTGAAGGAGAACAAAGTACCACAATCACAAGCGATATGTCGTGAACTCAGTATGATCTGATATTTTGGTTGGGCAAAAATTGGTGGTCAAGTCTAGATTTTGTTGTCTAGGCACAAGTGAGTTAATGCTCCACTGTCTTTAGCTATACGAAATTTGGTTCCTTTGTTTGCTTTGAGAGAGCTAATCAAACAAGCGATCATTCTTAAGAGGCTGCCTTACAATTTTGTCAAGATTGGAGCTTCTTGAACTATGTTGCCCACTTTGAACATGCAGCTTGACTTTGGTACATCTAATGATCTTTGCATTGATGAGAGATTTAGGATTGCATCAGATGGTATCATAGTGAATGACTGAATTGCCTAGACTCTACTTTGGCTGCTGAATGACTGAATTGTCATTTGTTAATTCTTATTTTTTCTTGCATTTTTGGATAAGGACAGAGCAGGGTTTGTCTGCATGTCTTATTGATTGTAATTCTATTTCTATGAAATAAAGTGTATTGGTTAGTTGAACACGATTTCAGCATGAAAGATTGAAAAAATGACTTCAATCTCTACCTAGGCCTTTTACTGTAATTTTTGAACTCAGGGGCTGTATAAAAAAAAAAAAACCAATTCCCTTGTTGTTTGTTACTCACTAGAATTTCCTTTGGTCTTTAAACTGGATGATTCATGGTGTTCAATGTGTAGTTGTTATCTTGGACCAACCAATACACATTCACTCAAGTAAGCTAGTTCCATAAAGAGAACTAATACACATTCACTCAACCAACCAATACACATTCAGTCATGCCATGAACTATTTTCAACCAATACATCAAACTAGTTCCATAAAGAGAAATTTTTTTCCATGACTTCAAGAGATTACAAGAACCAAAGAATGGAAAAATTACAAGAATCAATGAACAAGACTTTAAATGTTTAAACACAGGAAATGGCGATGCAGGCAGCTGAAGACAAACACTGCTTGACTCCGAAAAACCAGCATACATGAACATAAACGTGAACACTGACATAGCTTTTTGCTTCTTCTCTTCAAGTCCAGCAGCCTCATTCAACATGTCAGCAGCATCCTGGTGCATGTCTAACTTGGCAAGAGCAACTGACTGATATGCAGGCTGCCACAAGAGCAATTGACTGATATGCAGCCCCATTTTCATTTCCATGCAAATAAGCTAGAATGAATGATATGCAGGCTGCCACAAGGAGGATCTTGACAAGCATATCATCAAACTGTTCTAGAACAAGCCGCCACAGGGGCTTTCCCTTTTCTTTCTTAAGCTCATTCCAACCATACCTCTCTCGCCTCTTCTCGACATCATAAGAGCTTAGACCCTTGTCTAGTTTCACCTTGTACTCTTTCAAACACTGCTCCACCGACCACGACCATGCAGGGAATGGCGTTGCATCCATTGATGCTTCCATTGAGCAATGAAATGTCACTCCCAACTTAAACTTCTACACAAATTGGCTTATACCCATTTCAATTTGAAGCAAAGGAATTCATTAGCAAAAAAGAAACTTCAGCAAATAGCAAGCTGCATGTTGAATTTACAATTCAAAATGACAAATAAACTTTAATACAGTGACTCAAAATAACAATTTTACTACTTGTCATTCAAACTCAACTGTCTTGCCTTGAAACAATAAGCAATTGGTGAGGACGGAGGAAAAAAAAATCAGAAAGTAGTTCAGATTTAGTAACATTTTTCAATCTAAATAACTTCAACTTATCAGTCTTTATGACAAACCCAACAAACTCTGACCTAAATTAAAATTCCCCAACAGCAAGTTGCCTTCAGAGCCCCGATAATATATCTTAACAAACAGAGAGAAAAAAAAATACAACATCCCAGATAAAAAAATCAAAGAAAAAGAATGCCCAAGTAACGAGAAAATTAGATGATAACCAGCCAACTAGGAAATCAATACATCAACATAGCATTTACACTGACCCCTTAATGAGAAAGAACCAAAGAACGTAATCACTCATTTAGGTTATATAATCAAATTTTGGGGAATGATTACTCGAAAATAAATACGAATTTCAAAACTTACATCGATGTTAGGGCTTCGATTTATGGGAGTGATTATTCAAAGATGATCGTGGTCGACGGATTACTCAAAAACAGGTCTGGTTTGAGTGAGGATCGCAGCGAGGAAGACGAACGAAGCTGCACAGCCTGTTCTTGGTTGTTGGTATGTGCGGTTTTTGCGTTTTGTTCTGCACAGGTGGAAGACGGTGGAAGACGATGGAAGACGACGTCGTTTTGTGCCTTTGGTGGGTGCTGATGTCTTGGCCAAAACGGCACCGTTCCACTTAACAGCAAAGTTTGCGGTTAGACTCTAACTGTAGAGGCGCTCCACCCGGACACGCACACGGTCAATATAAATATAGACAAGAGTTTAAACTCCCTGTTTTGGTTTGATGGATGGAGGAGGATAACACCAGTAGGATTGGGAAAATGGTGAAAAAGTAAACATTTTTATACTTATTTGTGTAAAAGTATATTAATATAAAATCTTTGTATATAAATATTTTTATGTGTAAATGTTTGGTGAAGAGGTACACTTTTGTTGAATTATAATTTTTTCTCTTATTAAATTGCTCTTTTCCTTTATTAATTGGAGACAAATATGGTAGTTATATTAAGGATTCAGTTTCTTAATTTTATGCTATATCTTTTTCAAATTTTAAATTACCTATTCATGTATGATTGACCAACCGTTTATTCAAACGTTCCATATTTATTCCTCTATAATTCAAACCTCTTCCTTTGTCATTCACTCTATTCCATAACCGAGTTTTCAAACATATTCCAGTTAGTTGTAATGGAAAAAGTGCATCAGGTATGTATTCTATATATATATTTTTTCAAATCGTTAGGGTCTCTTAACGTTAATCATGTTCATGTGAGGATAAATATTAATGATAATGACTCAAATGAAGATGATCGTAATAATCAAGATGAAAACTCTGATTCGAAGGATGATTTGCTGTCTCACACGATAATATCATAGTGCTACAAGATAATGTCACACTGGTACTAAAAAATGTCATACTACTACAAATCAAATTCAGACTATTACAAACCAAATTCACACTACTACAAACCAATGTCACACTATTACAAGTCAATGTCACACTGCATACATTGACATGATGCATGACACAATGTAATAATCAAGATAATAATTCTGATTTTGATGATGATTCGTTGCCTCGCACGATAATGTCACAGTGCTATAAGATAATGTCACACTAGTACTAAAAAATATCACATTGCTACAAACCAAATTCACATTATTACAAACCAATATCACACTATTGCAAGTCAATGTTACACTGCTACATTAACATGACGCATGTCACAATATATATGACCTCTTTGTTTTTTTTTTTTGACAAATGATCGAACACTTTGTGTGCATGTAATACCAAACACAAGAAGTAAAAAGGTAATTGAGGGAAAAAAGTAGATAAAATAAAAATATTGGGAGAAACACAACGATTTACTTCTTCAGCAATGAATTTCGGTATGGTTACCACCGTCTGATACCGATATTTTCCCTTATTTATAGTGAACCCATCAAAAAAACCCATCACTTATTCAAAGGGATTTTCACATCCTATTCTGCAATCAACATGAAGTTTTGAATCAACGAAACTTAAGGGATCCCTTAAGTTTCAGTTATGATTGTCCATTCCAATTGCTTAAGAAAATCAAGAAAACATGTTTCATCTCTTTCTCTCTCTAAAATTCATTCTTGGATTATATGCAAAGTCTATTTGGAATTGTTGATGGGTTTAAACTTCAAAGAGAGAAAGGGTTTCTGAATTAGAGAGAAGTAAGAACAAGGCATCACCATCTTTGTTTCTCTATCTCTCGCTCTCTTTCTCTGTGGATTCTCAAGTGGGTCTTTGGTATTTTTTATGGTTGAAATTTTCAGTGAGAGAAGGTTTCAAATAACGTTAAAGATGGAGGAATGAAAAAAGACAATCATAACATCGAGAATAAGATCCCTTCAATTTCGATTGTGGAAGCAAAAATATAAGAATCAGTTTCATTTTAGTGAATGAGGTATTTTAGAGATTTATTAGGAGTTGTGTACTTTTTGACTTATATTTTTAAAAGTAATACTTTTTTTCTTATAATTTCTAAAAAGAGTACCGACTCTCTTAAAATCCTAAAATAATTTGAGACTCACAAAATTCAGCTTTGATCCACAATATTTAATGGGATAATCATTAGGCTCAAAAAATCGGCCCGTATCCTTTGAGACCACTTATCCCCTTTGAACCAGGTACCTTTACCCCATCTGAACTTTTGGAATTTCCAAGCTCATCGAAAGGATAAGTGATGTAATCACCAAAACACTCGTATACGGTAAATTAGCTAGGGTTTTTATCTTCTTTTCTCTCCATTTCACCCCACAGGTCCCCATTCTTGCGAACGGCGCTCACTGGTCCCCCTCACATGCCCAAAGGTCTTTATCCCTTTCTCTCTCTCTCCCCTCTGTTCTCTTCCTTGCTTTGTCTATTCTGCTCGTCTATGTTAACCATCTGTCATAACAAAGTCGGTGATTCGTCGTTTGGCTCGCAAATCTTCCTCAAGAATGCAATTCGTTATGGTGTGACCTACACTAAGCACGCTCGTCGCAAGACCGTGATGACCATGGATGTGGTCTATGCATTGACAAGGCAAGGTATGACTCTACACGAGTTTGGTCATTTGGGTTTCTGTCTCAAAAAAGTCTTGCTATCAAGAAGATGAAAATTGGGGGTTTAGGGTAGGTGTGGGTAATTTGGGTTTCCTTTTCGAGGTTTCTAAAAATAGAGTTTCTATTATACTATGTTCTTGTAATTATATAGTTTCTGCTTTAAAAAAAGAGAAATCAAGAGGGTATTTAGCTTAGTATTTGGTTTTATTTTGTTTCGGTATTTGTTTAGAGTGATCTGATGGGTGTAATTGAAAGTTGTTTTTGTTGTAGAAATTTGATGAATTAAACTGCTTTGTTTAATTCAAATTTTTATTCTTTGTTTGGTTGATAATCATTTAATTCCTGATAACCCTGGAATGATCCAAATTGTTGTATGATCGTGTGTTGTTAAACCAATGGATTAAACATTATAAAAATATAAATATTTTTTAAACTCTATATAATATAATAAATCATAAATTTGCTTCCAAATAAGTACAACTTATTTTATGGCATTCAAATTTGTTTATAGTTACTGAGTAGACTGGAGAACCTACATCGAATTTTGTTGCTTCTTTTTATTATGGTCCCTGCTCGAATATGATTGCTGAGTTTAGAGCTTTATATGATGGTTTGCAGCTAATTATGAAATATGGTCTGAATTATTATGGTTTTTTAATTGAATGTGATTCCATAGTTCTTGTGAATTCTGTTTTGGGAGGTTGAGTGCCCTTGGGCTTGTCTAGGATATATGAGGCAGATCAAAGATCTTCTAGGAGGTTTGGGATATCGACTGATTCATGTTTTTCAAGAGACTAATGCAGTTGTTGGTAGGTTGGCTGGTCAAGATGTGTTGAGTAGGAGGTCTATGGATTTTTCGGATTACTTACAATTGCCTTTTGAGGTTAGAAATGCTCTGCTTAGTGATCAGAGGAGACTGCCTATTCTGCGCAAAAGGAGGACTCTGGTTTTTTATGATAAGGGCCAAGGCTGCTTCTGAATTTTTGTCTTTGAGGAAGTGTTGATTTGTTTGAAATTTTTTTGAAGAAAAGGATGGTTGTGATGATGTTTGAGAGAGTTTTCTGGCTTTGGTTGTTTAAAGGCGTATGTGCTTTGTTTTTGAGTTTGCTCTATTTTTTGTTAGACGTTTGTGCCTCATCTTTGTTTCTTGTAATCTTTTGTTTTGTGAATAAATAAAATTTTATTGTTTTGCTAAAAAAAGAAGTTATTATTTCCAAATAACTATTCATCCAAACTAATTTTATCCACCCTACTACCCATCCAAACTTAGTATACGATTGGATTACACTTCCTTGTAAAGGATGTCATGGTCATTTCATTTAAATTGATTTGGACACATGCAAGGAGCCCACGGTTCACATTATTTCTATCCAAATCAAGTATTGGATTGAATAATATTTATTGGATCCAAAATAGTCCGAATTACTTTGGATTGGATTGGATTGGAATCCAATCCAACCCAATCCTTCCATGGCGATCCAAACACCCCCACAGTACACTATAATACACCACACACAGATTACACTATTTATTCTTTTATTGTGATTATGAATTTTTTAGTAAATTTATTATTTATTATTTTTTTTATTATAAGACCAGTCCGACCAGTTGACTCAATAGTTGAATCAGTGAACCATTGATTATGTTCCGCTGATAGTTCGATGTTTGGTCCAATTCTGATAACACTAATTTTGATATTATATTATTATGCGACTAACCCCGGGTCCATTGCATCTTATGGTCACGTGCCACAAGCACATGCTAATGCTAAGGCTAGATACATTAAGGGATTCTTTGGTTGAAGGATTAAATAGTAAATTACTGAGTCATAACAAATTAAGACTCTGTAATTCAACTTTATACACATTTGGTTGCAAAAAACATTCTGTATTATATTTAGTCTTATTTCAAATGTTTATCCAATAATACACTGCTTATTCAAATAATACACCATATTCATACAATTGAACTGATTATAATAACACATCTCCAAGTTGTATTATAGTCCAAGTCAAGTGTATTGAGTTATAAATTTACTATTCTACCCAATAGATAAACAAAAATATTAGGGTTAATTACACTAGAGGTCCCCAAAATATAGAATTTATCTTATTTTGGTCCCTAATGTTTTAATTGCATCATTTTAGACCGTGAAGTATTGCATATGTTTTTATATGGTCCCTTAAGCAGACAATATGCAGATTGCTAATAATTTTTTATCATAAACTTGCTACGTAATACTTAAATATGAATAAAAAAATTAATTTGAATAAATTTTGACCAAATTTTTACTCAAATTTTGATTAAATAGCTACCTAAAGTATACAGTTTTGATCATTAACTATCCAAATTTTAGTCAAAAGATACCCATATTACATATTTTTTTTGTCAAGAGCTACCCAAATTTTGTTTAAGAGTTATAAAAATTATTTTTTGTC